GTTGCTTTTTACAGGTAATTAAAGGCTATCATAATGAATTTGCATGAGAGGGAAAAATTCAGGTTCCAACAGCAATCTTAATTCTGGCATTTCCTATCTTTCAAGTGCTTGACTTTGCAACCTAAATAACTATGATTTTAATGTGGTTTTCTATGTGTAATTCCCGGGGGGCGGTTCTAAAGGAAAAAGCAAGCTATATTTTGTGCACCAATAACAGCCCCACCTGCTCCTCCCATACATCATCAGGGTTTGTACCCTGAACCTGCAGCATTGCAGCAGAGACTGCTGCCTCTGGAGCGACAGGACTATTTAGGCATTCCCCATATAGCATAGGGTGCTGCTTCTTTGGTGGCGTAAACCTGACTTTTTAGAATATTTATGTTCAGTTATTATTCTCTTGGCATTCTGCCACAATGTTACTGAACAACACAAGTGAGGGAAGGGAGATGGTGATTTTCAGTGGTTTATATTTCATCCAGGCCTGCATGAAATTTCATGGGAAAAGGGAAAGGCATGTCTCTAGCCTGAGGGCCCACTCCCGGCCGAATTTCAAAGGTCTCCTGCAAGCAATGGAATTGTAAAGCCACCCACAAAAAGTCACAAGAATTTTGTGTAATGGAAAGTGTTAGGTAACTTTAAAGATCGGGATTGTTCCAGCTCGCCGTGTTATCAATAGGACAGTGATACGAACGAGAAATAAAAATTGCTTTCAGTGTATTAATTTTAAAAAATGTTAAATGTCAATCTGTACACTCAAACCTGAGCACTCCTCCTAAAGTGCTTCATTCACTTAGGCAATTAAGAGACCCATAACAGTCCCCACCAGCATGAGGCACCATCTTTATATCTTTCAAGAACAGAAGTGCTCTTAGGCTGCGGGAGTGATAACAAGTCTGTCTTATATATAGAGAATAGCTTTACATTTCAATCTTTCAAAGAATTTACCTTTCTGACTTGCAAAGACCTCCACCAGGTGTCTGGTCTCCTCCTGTATTCGGTGCTCCAGGCTTTTCTTACCCAGTCCCAGGCTCTTTAGAAATGTCATACCAATGCGTCTCTGCTGCTTCCAGGTGTGACCGCTTGTCAGGAAAATACCTGAGGACAATAGAAACACCATTATGCTCTTGCTAGGAAGGAAACCCTTTTATATCAGAAGGCAAGTTTAAATTAAGATGCATTTTTCTAGTAAGAGGAAACAAGACATACTTTACAGATTTTGAGCTGTGATCTGTTACTTGGGTTTCTATCACCATTAGTATAACTATATATCTTTTTATAGTCACATCCCTGGAAACTCCATGGTGGCAGCTTTTGGAGAGGATAGAATAACTCATCTATTGGTGTGTCAGATGTGCTTAATTCTATAGGCAAACCTTTGAATACATGTCAATTGAATGCATTTTGTATGTGGAGACAGTCTCTTTAAAATTAAGCCAAATTAAGGCCAACTTGGTAGGCAAATTTTTCTCTGAATCCCATGGAAAGAAAAGAAGCATAGCCAGTGATGTGTTATGTGAGTAAGTATTACAGGATTTGTCTTTTTTTGGTCTGTTTTTCTCTTTCTTAATATTGCAGTTCTGAATGGAGCCTTGCTGTCCAACTGTATAAGTACCACATGCAAGGCAGTATCTGGGATGAATTCTCTGCCTTAGAATGCCACCTTTATACTTCAATATTATTCCTTGCAAAAGAGTAATATCTTTTACCTTTTTCTCCCATCAGATCCCTATAGAAGGGGGTGAGAGGCCGTCCAGAAATCTCTTCTGAATGGGAGAGAAGGCCTTCTTTTACTGCTTTGTATCCATTCAATACAACCACAGGTGTCTGTCCCATCCACACTGTGTAAATGTTGCCATAGATGTTGGTTAACTGGAGAGTTGATAACCATAAGTCAGAAAAATTGACCGCAACCAGCAGATCTGTTGAAAGGCTTCTTTCAGATGTTTTCTATAACTCTGGCTAAACCCATTTGCCTCTGACTGAATTGGATTAGAGTTTACAACAGAATTTAGCCTCCTAATGTAACACACTTTGGGTATGGAATGCCAGTCCTACTCCATTTTATGCAACATGGATATTAAGCATTAGATAGAACATCATTCAACAGGAGGGAAAACGCTACAAAAGGAGAACCAAAGAGCTTCTTCTGAAATATTACATCAGCTCAAAGTTAAAGTGAATAAACAGACACTTGTTTTTTTTTGTATTTGTTTTTTCCTTTTTGTTTTCATTTATTGCGAATTATTGAATGTGTTTGCTTCTCTCAGTGTCAATGCAGGCAGAGAACTATTTTTGCACTTTGTTTCTTTTCTTACTGCTTCCCTGTGATTTTTCTTAACTTTCTTCTCAGAGCCTTTTCTCAGGTCAGACTTGTATTTTCTCCTGAAACAGGGTTGAAGTGAATTTCTTACTATTGTAATTATTTAAACTGTTTCTCAAGAGACTGGCACTTCAGCAAAACAGGAATACAGTTTTTCCTGCTCCATCTTAAAACCAATTGTCTGGGTTATTGCAAAATTTTGTTTTAGGGTGTACAGTTGGCCATGGTATGGAGATCAAAGTTCTCTCAGCCTGGAGACATTTCACTGATATCAGTGCCAATATAGCATAGTGCCTCCTGCAAGAAAAGTCCTGCCAGAGATGCCTTATAGAATGAGATACCCACAATATATATAGCAGAGAGTGAGTCCAAACCATCACTAGAATATATAATGAGTTGCCTTTTAGAAGAAGGCTGAATCTTCTGTATCTATTACCTAGTGCCACTCGCAGTCAGGAAGAAATACCAGAGAAGCGACGACCTGTTCTGCCTCTGGCAAAACAGGATATCTAAATTGTCTCAGAACCACTTTGGAAACAATAGGGCCTCATCCAAGATCCAGTGAAGGCAACGGAAAGACTCCCATTGATATCAATGGGTTTTGGATCAGGGTCTCACTGCTTCACACTGGGCTTGTGATGATAAAGTCTGTACAGTATAAATATACGTATTTGGACATTCTTAAAGAGAGAACAGCAAAAGGAAAGAAGAAAAATATCAATTGAAAGTGATTATTCTTTTCTCCCAGCAATGCAGTTCCCCACGTCTCTTGTGTTTGGGTAATGATTAAGTCAGGCTGAGGAATACCCTATAACTGAATAGGTAACTCCTGTGCAATACCAATTTTAAATCCACCCCAATCATTCTAAGCCTCTCTACTTCAGTCAAGTCCAGTATTCTGCTAAAATAAATACCTTAAAAAGATCTTCTCGCTGAAGTTTAAAGCCCAGCAGCCATAAGTTGCCAATAATGGGCAGGGGAGTCGGTCCAGGAGGAAGCCGTCTACGTGTCCATTGCAACTTCAGAAATTGCACAATCAGGAGAAACACAATCAGAGCGACTGAAACCTCAGTTATCCACAACATCTCACCGTGCTGTGTTATCAATTTCCTTTCTGCCTGGGCACTATCTCTCTGAAAATTGTTTTGGAGCTGCATACACTGAGCTCACTTTCTGTTAGGTTCTAGTTCTTTGCCCTTTCTAGTCATCTCTCACTCTCTCTATTGTTTTGTCTCTTAGTTTGGCAAGTGTAGAGTGTATCAAAGGCGTTTTTAGTAAACTTTGAAATATGTGATCCATTTCAGTTAGCCAAACCACTCCCACCCTGTTCTGTGATCTCCCAATGTGTGACCTATCTCTCTTTTCAGTGAGAAACTCTCCTATTTAGGATGGATACCAGGGCTACATGCTATTGGCTCTGAAATTGTGATCCATCGGCATCTAGACTCTCATAGTGTTCCCAGCAGCTAAAATGCATTAAAAACAGCTAAGCATATGTTACTTTTATCATACAAAGTGATTGTTATAATTGCAAATGGGAGGGAAGGCGACCACAAGATACTGTATATGGTTAATTAATACTTTATTTAGTAAAGCAAACAAACCAAAACCAGCTAATATAACTGAATATATAAGGAAAATAGTTTGAAGACAAAATATATATATATGATATGATATTAAACTGAAGCCACTATGAAAGGGGCCTGTGGCTAGTAAGAGTATAAAATGATTCTCTTCACGGGAGTGTTTTGGTGCTGGGGTCATAAAGACACAGAGGCTTAGACTCTTGGATGGACGCTCCACCCAGTCTGCCTGTTTGGGATTTGGAGGGTTTGAATTTGAAGGATTGTTGGCTGCTGTGGGGAGAGGGAGCAGGATCCTAGAACGGGGGTCGGAGAGCTAGACTGCGGTCATGAGGGGAAGCAGGGCTGGGTCCGTATAAGAACAGGCTGTCCCTGTTGGAATAGAAATTAGGAAGATTTCTAAACACTTTTTAGGTTCATGTTCTGTTTAGTCTGATTTACAAAACACTAGATGTTTGTTTAAACCCAGCAGAAGTTGGAGGTGTAGTCAGTCGGTAGGTATTTAAGAGATCTGCAGGGCCCTTGAAATACAGTTAGGAGAAGTAGACAGGATCACTCTATTCACAGGCAAGCATCCTGAGATAACGGGGGTAAAAAGGCTGTACTGGCAACCCCGAGACACTGCTGTTGAATAAAGTGTGTGTCCAGGAAGGGTCAGGTCATGACATCTGGCTAGGATGATCAAATTTGCTAACAGACTTGGCATGGACCACTTTGGGCCACTCCCAGACATGCAGCGCTTCCTAGAATTATTTATTTGTTTGTTATGTGTACATTTCTTTAGAAGTGGACCTTAAATACAATCTTTTCACTCAATTTTTGTTACCTTTGCTATAAAATGGCTGCCTTTCTTTCCCTATTGATCGCCTGCTGAAGATCAAATCTTCCAACTTGTATAGCTTCTGGATAAGCTCTCTTTTTTTTATTTATTGTTTTTGGCACCTTTGAAAATAAATGATAATGAATGTTTCTTCAGTATCCGAGGAATCAATCTGACTGTGTAGAATTCAGCTCAGCTAAGCTCTTGTAAACTGCCTGTTAATAAGCAAATATATAAGGTCTGCGGAAGAGGTAACCCTGCTCCTTCAGATTTTATGAAGCCCAGCAAAATGGGACATTCTTCTTGCAGTTTTTCAGAAGTTTGTGGGGTGGTGGATGATGCCTGGGAATAGAGCTGGGAGGAGGAAGTTTTGTCCAGATTGAGCATGCAGAGCCAACTTTTGAAAAGACATGGGGGCAAGATTTTTCAAGTACCTGACAGCTGGAATCAGAGCCAGATTTTTAAAAGAGCATCCAACATACCGCGCTCTTCTAAACCGCCAGCCACTTGTTTAGGTGCCTAAATGGAAGCCGTGCTCTTCTGAACGTCTGGTTCCAATTGTGGGTCCTGAGCACATCTGAAAAGGTTATCAGCTAGAAAATGTTCATTGTTTACAGTTTAACATGGGGATAATAGCCGTTACCTGACTTTCCATCCTCTCACTGCATTTCAGGTCTCCCCTGCCATGCCTCCAGTCCCCTTTGCCCCAGAGCCCCTATTTCAAGACCGGGTAGCACAGCTCCATGGCACCCAGTCCCTAACCCACAGTTCACTTCCCCCATCACCATGTCACCACCTGGACTCCTGCCCCTCTATATTACTCTCATCCCTTATTCTCTACTCCAGCAACAGTATTGCCAATACCAAGAGTTGCAAGAGGCAATGTTTCTCACCCCATGCAGTAACTGTAGTTCTGCATTATGTGTGTCCCTATGGGTGCTTCACTTCACGTACACATGCGCCTCTCAAGCCCTTGAGCAGAGACTTCTAGCTAGCAATGCCTGTTCGGCCCACACATGCGCCCTATGCCTTCTCATAGCAGACACCGAGGCAATAGAGGGGTGAATGGGCAAACTGCCCTTAGTTCCGTCTCTACTCAGTCATCCCTACGGAACAACTGAAGCAGAGGGTAAGGAGGGCGGGTAGTGGAGCACCCATCGGGGGACACAACTCAAACAACTACAGTTACTGCACAGGGTGAGTAATATTTCCTCCTTCTTCGAGTAGCATCCGTTTGGGTGCTCCACTTCAGGTGGAGAGAAGGCCTCTGATGCTGAGCTGGGAGGGAGGGGATGTGGCTCCACTACAGCTGCTCAGGGGGGCTCTGGCCCACTCAAAGCACACCGGGGAGGCTGCAGCACACCTGCCTCTATCAACAGAAGCGGGGAAACATGGGCAGTTCAGGTGTCGTTCCTGAGCTGACTGTGCTTTCGAGAGAGATTGCGAGAGTTCCTTCCAGAACTAGCCTGAAACTGCAAAACTTGCAGTAACACCAGAAGTGTTTGCAACCATAGGCGTGCGCAGCACATTTCATTAGGGTGTGCACCCAGGGAATTTTTTTTTTAAAGGCGAACATCAT